TCTTTAATGATTCAAAACCTTTTACTCCGTGTTTTAAAATAAATTTTACTCAGTGTGTAAAAGTAAATGCTGAAAGTGGTTGTCATTTACTTCCTGACAATATGCCAATCTTTGATAGAATGCAGAAATGGCTCTACGATTCGTCTCAAAAGGTATCAAATCTATTTCATCCCTTATTCGCTGTATCAATTCTTGGATGCTTTCAGATTTTGTTTTGTAAACCTTATTCTTCAGGTGTCCCCATAGATAATAATCAAGAGGAGTTAGATCTGGTGACCGAGGTGGCCAATCCTTCTCCTCCCTCATTTATGTTCCTTCTTCCTATTCATCGTAATGGAAGTCTCATTTAAATTTGACGTGGCTCTAAACCAAAATGAGCAGGAGCTCCATCATGCTGAAACCATATTTCTTCGAAATTATTTGGAAAAATATTTCGTATGGCTGGAATTATTTGATCTACAAGTAATCTGTCATACCTTTGAACATTCAAATTTTCTTAAAAAAAAGACGGTCCTATTAAGTAGCCATCTATTATTCCACACCATACATTTATTTTTTGTGGGTATTATGTGTGAGTTTCCTGCACCCAATTCGGATTCTCATCTGACCAGAAACGAAAATTTTGATTATTAACTTCTCCCGTTAACGTGAAAGTTGCCTCGTGTGTAAAAACAATTTAATAAGGGAACATGGGCCGGACATCTATTAGTGCTATCATTCTTTCATAGAAACCTATACGACGCTCCACATCTCCGTCTTGCAATTCTTGAACATATTGTAATTTATATGGCTGGAACTTGTTTTTCTTTAAAATTCTTCAAACGGACTTGGGAGCAATATCGTGAGTTTGAGCGACTTTGTTAATAGTAGAATTGGGACCTTCAATAAATGTCTGCAGAACATCAAGTTGTTCTTCTTCGTTAATGGCAGGCTCCCTGATTTAGGGCGATTGTTTACGTTACCAGTTTCTCTAAAACGTTCCATTGTTTTTAAGACAGTAGACTTATTAATTCGACGATTCGGATACGTCTCATTAAATAATTGAGCGACAGCAGCGTACGACCGCTCGTTATCACCCCATCCACGCATCATGAGGATAGTGATTCTTTCACGTTCCGACAATTCGCCAGCCATTTTTAAAACGTTTAATTTTTAATCTGCCTAAGATCTGTGAGAACTGATTTTAAGTAGCCGTGAGAACAACTGATTTTAAGTAGCCGTGAGAACAACTGATTTTAAGTAGCAGTGAGAACAACTAATTTTAAGTAACCGTGAGAACAACTGATTTTAAGTAGCCGTGAGAACAATTGATTTTAAGTAGCAGTGAGAACAACTGATTTTAAGTAGCCGTGAGAACAACTGATTTTAAGTAGCCGTGAGAACAACTGATTTTAAGTAGCAGTGAGAACAATTGATTGCCGGTTGATCCTGGATAACACTAAGTGCATGAAATTTTGAAATTTGAACGGCCGCCATTTTCAATGGGGGGGGGGGGGGTCGTAGCAATTTAAAATTTTAAAGGTGTGTTTGTTATAAAAAGACCTTTCAAATGAGCCCCCACTCAATCCTTAGTCCAATTTAAAATTTTCAACCCCCCTTTTACCCCCGCGTACCAAGGGGTGGGGAATAATCGGTATCCATGTCATAGGGTAGCTTTTTTAAAAAGTCAAAATACGTGTTTTACCGTTTTTCGATATTTTCATTTTTACAAAAATTATTTAAGGGTTTCCACACTTTTGACAAACTCTGTTATATTAGGTGTGTGAATTAATTCGGTCCATTTGGCGGTCAATTGTTGTACTATGTAATTTTCTAACCTCTAATGTCTGCAAAAGGCTTTATTTTTTAGTTTTGATATCTAGCAATAATATTCAGTTGATAAACGTTTGAGTTTATAATAATAACATCGTGTTTATCTGATTCGAAAATGTCGAAATTCGAGCCAAAAAAGCATAATTTCCGAGAAGTTCTCATTTTCTGTTTTCATTTGAAGAAAACAGCCGCTGAAGCTCATCGAATGCTCGTAGAAGCTTATGGTGAAAGTGCTCTCACCAATAAATCATGCAGATAATGGTTTCGACGTTTCAAAAGTGATGATTTCAGTGTCGATGACAAATCTCGTCCAGGTCAGCCGAAGAAGTTCGAGAAATTGCAGGCGCTAATCATTGATCGATCAACAATTTCTGTGCGTTTGGCAGCCATGGGAAAGATTTACAAAGAAGGAAGATGAGTGCCGTACGAACTGAAGGAAAGAGACATCGAGAGGAGAAAAGCCATGTCTGAAATCTTGCTTGCCAGGCAAAAAAGAAAAGGTTTTTTGCATCGTATTGTGACTGGAGACGAAAAGTGAATATATTTCGATAATCCCAAACGAAGTAAATCCATTAACGACCCAGGAAAACCATCCACATCGATACCAAAGCGGAATATTCACGGCAAGAAAGTAACGCTCTGTATACGAGGGCGGTCCGATAAGTACTTAGCCTCACCGCCCGATGGCGCCACACCATCGCAAGAGAAATTTACTATCGTGTAGTACATTCTCGTAAACGGCTACTGTCGAAATTTCAGCCGAATCGGACTCGTAGTTTTGTTTTGACCGCGTGTGGAAGCGGGCATGTCCGCGGATTTTAGAAAAATGGAAAAAGAGCAATATCGGTCGGTGATTCGATTCTTGTTTTTGGAAGGGAAATCGCGCAGCGAAATCAAAAAGCGCTTGGATGCTGTGTACGGTGACTCTTCTCCTTCGATGGCGACCGTCAAAAATTGGTTTAACGAGTTTCAACGTGGTCGCACGTCGGTTTTTGATGAGCCACGCCCAGGTGCCCCGAAAACGGCTACCACGGAGGATAACATGACACAAATCCACGATCTCGTATTGGCACCACCGATTGAAGGTGCGCGAGATAGCTGAGATAGTAGGCATCTCAAAAGACCGCGTGGGTCATATCCTGCATGAAATTTTGGGCATGAGAAAGCTGTCGGCGCGATGGGTGCCGCGTTTGCTCACTCCGGACAACAAGCGCAACCGTGAGACCACTTCAGAGCAGTGTTTAATGCTGTTTAAGCGCAATCCGAAGGAGTTTCTGCGTCGTTTCGTGACCGTCGACGAAACATGGATCCACTGGTACACACCAGAGATCAAGGAACAGTCGAAACAGTGGACTTCACCCGGCGAACGTGCTCCGAAGAAGGCGAAGACTGTCCTATCGGCCGGAAAGGTGATGGCCACCGTTTTCTGGGATTCACAAGGTGTGATCTACATCGATTACCTGGAGAAGGGCAAAACGGTCACAGGGCTGTACTATGCCGAATTATTGGGCCGATTCGATGCCGAATTGCAGAAAAAACGGCCCCATTTGGCGAAGAAAAAAGTGCTCTTCCACCGTGACGACGCACCGGCTCACACCTCTGCCCTCGCCACGGTTAAATTGGTCGAATTGGGCTACGAACTGCTGCCCCATCCACCGTATTCTCCACATTTGGCCTCGTGCGACTTCTTTTTGTTTCCAAACTTGAAAAAGTCACTCGCCGGGCAGAAATTTGAGTCGAATGAGGAGGTCATCGCCGCCACGGAGGCCTACTTTGCAGACCTCGAGAAAACGTATTTTTCAGACGGGTTAAAGAAGTTGGAACATCGTTGGGTCAAGCTAAAAGGAGACTATGTTGAGAAATAAATAGCCACTTTTCCAAAATTTTCGTTTTTCTTTTGTAGGCTAAGTACTTATCGGACCACCCTCGTATGGTGGGACCAGAAGGGTGTAGTGTACCATGAACTATTAAAACAGAGCCTAGCCATCACTGCCAAACTTTACCAACAACAATTGATCCGTTTAAACAACGTATTGAAGAATAAGCGGCCGGAATATGCAAAGAGATACGACAAAGTGATCTTTCAGCGCTCTTCTGATAACGCTCTGCCACATGTTGGAAAGATTGTGAAACCCATCTTGGAAGCATTTGGCTGGGACGTTTTACCTCACCCACCGTATTCACCAGACATTGCTCCATCCGATTATCACTTGTTCAGATTGATGGCACACCGGTTTTCGGACCAGCACTTCAGCAATTATGAAGAAATAGAGAAGTGGTTCAATGAATGGATCGCTTCGAAGGACGAGTCGTTTTTCCGTCACCGAACTGCAACAACTGCGAGACAGATGGAAAAATAATAGCAAGGGATGGCAAATACTTTGATTACTGTACTTTTTCATGTTTTATCATACTAAAATCTTTTTTTGGAAGAAACAAACGGACCAAATTAATTCACACACCTAATATGTATGTGCACACGATGATACATGTCGCGCGCCCGCGCGCGCACACACATTTAAAAAACAAAGTTGATCTCCATATGATCTTAGAACGTTCATTCAAGGTCAATCCAATGACACCATCTTATGTTCCCCTCGAACCAAATAACTTTTGTCTGAAATATTTCTTTCCAAAATGCATAGTTTATGAAATATTCGACCGTTTCCAGACTTTTAGTACCTCGTAGAATCTTAATTTCAATTAATAATTTATTATATACTTCATATTCTAAACTTTTATGATTAACTTAAACTTTTATAATTATCGTGGGTGAATTTCAATACCATCTTTATAAATAAACAATAATAATACAGAACATACACATATATTCACATTCTAAACTGTATTCTAAATCGTTTTGAAAATTTCAATACATTTTAATATGCAATAAAAAATAAAATATAGAAAAGGATAAAATTAAAATTCACACAAAAAACATTTCGTGTATCCAAATGCCACATTAAATATGTTAAAATATTTAAAAATATAGTAAAAATAGAAATAGAAGAAATTAAAATCGACTATACTATTATTAAGATAAGTTTCTTACTAATCACGCTAAGCATAATTTTTTATAACGGTCTTATTATATTTTCAAAATTATGTGATATACTAAGGAGAAACTAAGAATTAAAAAAATTCTTTCAATTTCATTGACCAAAGTTTATTAAATAAAACTCTGAGATGTTTCGATATATTTTTTGTATTAATTTCCTACGTGAAAGTTATCAAAAATCAATGGCTAGCTCATAATATATCTCTTTCTATGTTAGTATTTGTTAATATAACCTTTAAAATCAATGGCCACAATATCTCTTATATTAATATTTGTTAGTATTCATATTAGTATTTATTTTTTTTATTTGTTACTTAACATTATTTATTATTTAACATAAGAAATAAATGTTCATTGAATTACTGCCAATTCTTTTCCAATCTGTATAAAGGCATTTACGGCATAGTCTATATCTTCTGTTGTGTGTGATGCACTAATTTGGACACGTATTCTTGCTTTATCTTTTGGTACCACAGGATAGCTGAATCCAACGACGTAAATACCTTTTCCTGTAAAAGCATTTTTAATTATTTAAACTAAAACATATCAAAGAATCCAAATGCAGTTTCTGTAATTGTAAACATATGCCAATTAAAACATACAAATGCTAATTTATAAAACAAATTTTTCAGTCATAATTTAGACGTGAATCAACATGATGAATAAAGAAAAAGATATTATAAAATATGTTTAACAATTGAGTGTGCGAACAAATCTATCATGTCTATTATAAGTTTAATTATTTATTATTTAAAAACTATTATAGCCTTAAACTTTTTTTTCGTATTGAAATTTTTATTTCCAAATTATCTAAAAAAATTTTTTACGAAACGTTAAATGATCTTAACAACATATGTCAAGATTAAAATCATTGGAATCGGCTTCCCTAAATTTGCCATGAATAAAATGAAGAGAATCGTATACCAATATATACATGTTAAGAAAGTGTGATATTTCAGTGACAACACAATTATTGCATGTCTAGATATAATTAATGATTAAGTTAAATTAGGTTAATCTTAGATCTTTCATAAGAATTGGTATATTCCCAAAAAATCTTACAAAGGATATCCGTGAACTGTGCATCTCCGATTTCGACGAAACTTAACATATTTGTAAAGTAGCCAAAAATTTGGGAGGGAATGCTGGCGCGGTTCCCCCAGCTCTCCCATTCGCCTTCCGGCTCGCCTGGAAGGCACCTGGGGGGGGGGGGGTTAGTTGGTAAGAGTTCGACATAACTTTCCCCTCTCCAAAAGAGCGGAAATATCCATGAGGATTCCCCCTCCGTGAACAAAAAAAATAGCCAAAAATAAGAAACCCATATTTTCATATCGGCAGTGGCTCAGATTTGAAGGATGAAACTGCTCCTTAAAGTTCCATCTCCTTCATGCTATCTCGATAATTATTGCAGATAGGAAAACTTTTCAAACAAAAATTGTACGGTTCTTTATGTCGTACAATTTTTGTTTCAAAAGTTTTTTTCCTATCTACAATAATTATCGAGATAGCATGAAGGTGATGAAACTCTGAAGGGGTTTCATCCCTTATATCTGAGCTATTGCCGATAAAAAAATATGAGTCTCTTATTTTTGGCTACTCTACAAATATGCCAAGTTTCATCGAAAGCATACACTTCGCGGATATTCCTTGTTAAACAAGAATTGAAAATTTTTAAGTATTATTGAAAATTTATGAGATTCTGAGAAATTATGAGAAATTTTTGAAAAATTATAAGAAATTTTAAAAAATATTTAAAATTTCTAAGAAATTTCTGAAAAATTCAAAAAAATTTTTCAGACATTCTGGAAAGTTCAAAGAAATTCTGAAAAATTCTTCTCTGAGAAAATCTGAAAAATTACCTAAGAATTCTAAAAAGTTCAAATAAATTTATACTTAACTCAATCAGAAATAATTCGTTGAAAAGACGTCGTTTCGATGTTAAAAACAAAAAATCGAAATTTGGATTGATTCTATATCGAAACAAATGCCGAAATAAATGTAGACGTGTTTTCAACCGCAATTTCAGTATTATTTGAACATCGAATTAATTCCCAGGTAGCACAAGATGTCCTAAAGACAATCATTTTATGTTCATTTTACGTCCATACGTCCATGAACGTCCATGAACGTGAAACGTCCATCGCATATCCGATTTTGGACTCATCTAAACGTCCATATTAGGACATCCATAGGATGTCCAATGTTGGACGTCAATGGTCATTATCCAAAAATTTTTGTAGTGAATTTGATTGCTTGCACTAATGCGCACTAACAAGGGAACGGTCGGGGGCGTCCCTCACCGATTTGAATGGGCATTGGATATGTTGTAGAGGGTCAAAAAATATTAGACATGTATTTTTTTATATGTGCTTATCTCGAGGTTTAGGGGTTGAAATCACCCCTTGAAAAAAAACGGATTTTTTCGTTTTTATCAAATATCTTCTAAAATATAAGAGATATGAAAACATAGTAAATGTAAGAGTTTTACAGTATTTGATGCTCTTTGCACCTGTCAATTCAAAGTTTTCAAAATATCAAATTTACACTCCCCGCTCCCCCCCTCCACTCATTATTTTCGCAAATTTCAAAAATTTTGTAAGAACAAAAATTAAAGAGCATTGAATTCCGAATCCATCCATATATAATAATAGTATGATTCCTCGATTCAATTTTTAGAAAAACAGTATGATGACATCGTGGTAGGCACTGCACTGTGCGAGTAGGTAGGTACTGTTACATAGCGTTCATTCTCTTCAGTTGCGCTATGCTTAATAACTATCTGTGCATAATTTATCCTACTGCAAGATGAAAACGAATTAATTGTAATATGTCATGTATTATACAAAAAAAAAACAGTGAGTGCAGATAAATGTGTGTATACAGTCTGTCCCAGATCCAATGAGACTGGTCTAAAAAAAATACAAAGCGTTTATTATTTTGATTTTTTATTCTTGTTTATTCAAAACTCCTTCTGAGTCAATACAGCGCTGGAAACGTTCAACAAATTTTTCGAAACATTTTTTATACTCATCGGCTGGAATGGCCTTTAGTATGGCGGTCGAAGTCTTTTGGATGACCGGGATGGTATCGAAACAATTTCCTTTCATCGCCAATTTCAGTTTGGGAAATAGCCAAAAGTCGCACGGAGCCAAATCAGGTGAATACGGTGGATGATCGATAACAATGATGCCTTTTTTGGTCAAGAATTCACGTACCATGATGGCTTTGTGCGATGGTGCATTATCGTGCAACAAAAACCAACTGCCTGGCTCTCGATATTCCGGTCGAACTCGTCGAATTCTGGCCCACAATCGTTGTAGAACTCCCAGATAATACTCTACGTTCACCGTCTGACCTTCTGGGACGAATTCATTGTGAACAATTCCCTTTGAATCGAAGAAAATGGTTAGCATTATCTTGATTTTGCTCTTCTGAAAGCGTAATTTTTTCTTTTTTGGCTCTTCTGGTGACTTCCATGCCGCACTCTGACGTTTTGTTTTTGGCTCGTATTGAAAACACCACGTTTCATCACCAGTTACAATGGCTGACATGCTTGCCGGATTCCTTTGGGACATTTTTAACATGTCTTTGCAATGCTGAACTCTCAAATCTTTTTGGTCGTCTGTCAGAGTGTGTGGCACGAAGCGCGCACAGACCTTCCGTTTGTCCAAATCTTCGGTCAAAATTCGATAGACTGTGCTTTTCGGTATTCCAGTTTCCTCTTCGATGAGTCTCGCAGACACACAGTGGTCGCTTCAAAGAATTTCTTTGACTTTCTCGATGTTTTCTTCATTGCGAGTGGTTTTTGGCGGCGGTGCTCGGTCATCGTCTGCAAGCCTCACGGTTCGACCAAACCAACGGAAAACATGTGCACGGGATATGCATTCATCCCCGTACACATTTTTTAGCATTTCGTACGTTTCTGCACCACTTTTACCCAATTTAAAACAGAATTTAATATTCACTCTTTGTTCCATGTTGGTTTTTCGACCGACGTACACAAAGACGTACGACGTAAAGACGTACTTTACATAAAATGTCAAACCACAATGAAATATCAACCGAATTTGCTCAAATTTTGAGGTTAAGTAGATGAAAGGTAGAACATTCACCTACCATCATTCATTCATAGATGTCGCTGCGCTAAGAACTTTGATGGAACCAGTCTCATCGTATCTGGAACAGACTGTGTATATCCCAGACAGCATACGGATGTCCATTGGACGTCCGTTACATGTCCATTTCTTATACAAACGACGTCCATAGGACGTACGTTTGTCACAACTTTGGACATAGGACATCCGATGGACGTACATCGGACGTCCTACAGGTCCGATGTCCAATAAGGACATCCTTGTTACGTCCAATTTATGTCCACGGACGTAAATTGGACATACGGACATATTAGGTTGTTGCAGATGAAATGGCCATTTTTTAATTTTTAATTTAAATTTTTATTCGACACACTTTATATACATATCGTCAATCGAAATAGTCTCCCTCCATCTCAATACACTTCCCCCAACGTGATACAAGCGCATCAATGCTTTTCACGTAGAAATTAGAAGAGCGAGATGTAAGAAATTCGTTGAACGCATTTTTCACGTCGCTTTCTGTTTGGAATACCTTTTCACTTAAAAGTTATCCAGATGCTTAAACAAATGGTAATCAGTTGGAGAAAGGTCAGGAGAATAAGGAGGGCGAAGGAGAAGTTCGTATTTGTTACTGTATTTGTAACTTCGTATTCTGTTAATGTTTTTACGGTTTTTTTTGCAATATGCGGTCTAGCATTATCATGGAGCAATAACATACCGCGTCTGTTTAATAATGCCGGTTGTTCAATACGCAGTTTTTCCATCACAATGTCAATTTCTTGGCAATACTTGTCAGCATTTATAGTTTCACCCTTTTTCTAAAACGAAAAATGCACAACACCCTTGGCAGACCACCATACAGATACCATAACTTTACATGGATGAAGGCTCGGTTTCGGCATGTGTTTCGGAGCTTGATCAGCATCTAACCACTGGGCAGAACGTCGACAATTGTCATAAGGAACCCACTTTTCATCACACGTTACTATTCGATTCAATATTCCTTCATTATTGTGTCGGGAAAGCAAAGATGAGCTGATTTCCATACGGCGAAGCTTGTCTCTCTCACAAGTAATACTACCCAACTGATACTCACCGATTTGAATGAAACTTAACATACTTATTAAACACCGAAAAATATTAAATACGTGTTTTATTGTTTCGGCTAAATACGCTTTTTAGGGGTAGAAAGCACCCCTCAATTTCTGGAGGTGGAAACAGTTATGGCTAATTATTTCTGAAACGATATATTTTCTGAAAAAAGTGCTTAGGACCAAAGTTGTAGAGTTCAAAGTGATGCACTTAATGGCGATCTTGAAATCGAGCTGAAGGTCGATTTTCAAGGTCAATTAAATTTGGAAGTAATTACTCTCTTCTTATAATCAATGTCTACAATTTCTCTGAATTTTGTATTG